ATATATATATATATATATATAAAATGGCTAATAGCCCACAATTAATAAAACTATTATCAATTATTTTTAGTTTCTACTGTTTTCATTTATTACTTTTTATCATAAATTAAAAAATTTCATGTAAATATTTAATAACTTTTTATTGTTTATTATGATGAAAGAGTACACTGAAATTTCATCCAAATGAAATATATACTGAAATTTATTTTACCTTACTTAAATCCGGTAAATTTCATGTAAATATTCTTTTTAAGTTGCTTCTCTTCTTGCTTTTAAGAAATTATACGATCTTCTATAATGATTTCATTAATAAATAATAACCCGAGTCGAAATTTTATTTCTACATTGAATCTCTTTCAACCTCAATTAAACCTTATAAACCTGTTTTGATACTTAAACAATCAAATAGGACCTCTTTTAATATTACTTAATCAACAGCTTCTATTTAGAAAACTTCTTTTCTACCTAAAAGTAGGAAATTTTCCGATAACTGCCATTTACAGGCTCAATATAGGAGCTGAATTTATTAGATTAGAACTTATTATAAATTTCTAGAGCCTACATACGTCCTAATTATACATCTTTAGAGTCTACATACGTCCTAAGGTTCAAAGTAGGAGCAAAATTTCGACTCGGAAATGTTTCGTATTTTTTGTTGTTAAATGTATGATTGCGTCTTTGTTGTCTTACTCGTTATTTTCGCGGAAAGTTTTCCTTTGAGGAATATTCGATTTTTGCCTGGAAAAAGGGAAGAAGTGGTCATCCACATGACCCTCGAACTATTGCCGTTCCTATCGTATTCGGTGCAGTCCAGTTTCATTCGAGCGTGATATAATAGCACATAGAGAGCTGAACGTGCCCGGCCGTTTGACTGGCAGCAGTGCAGATTATTGGCCTCGTGGGTCACAGGCCTTGTACCATTGCCGTTAGGCGTTCATTTATAAATGTCGTCGTTCTGACAAAGAAATTGATTACGATTGTCGCAGATAATCATCGATACTAACTCTCGTTCAGTGACCACAGTGTTTTCTGAACGATCACGCAACGCGGTGGAACGGGCTTGTAGAGAAACGCGAAAGAATATATACCTTTTCCGCTTCTCTCTTCCATGTCTTTCACGTGAAATCAAGAAACCGTTGCCATTTTAATACGGAAAACCGATAGCGATAAGCGGATTTCGTCGCTGTCTATATTAAAATCTATTCTTTAATTTAATCCTTTCGCGCAAAAGTCGAAGTCGAAATTTATTTAATATAATATGATACTCAGAATTCTAATCAAATTTTAAAGCAATAATCTCATCTTTTAAACCATTAATACATTTTATAATAGAAACGACTGCGTTTAATAGAAAAAGTAGCTTTGCAAGTGTTGTAAAGTTCTTTAATATGATTAATTTTGTCATTAGTTCCTTACTAAATCTAAATAAACTAGTCGTTAAAGAACCTGACAACAAAGCGGCTTTTTTTGCAGAACGTAGCGAACGTTAATATAATTGTGTAACACAGTTATGTAACGAAAGAAATTTTATACTAAACTAAATATTACTAAAATACTAGAAAAATTTAAAAGCAGTATTCAGAGTTTTAATCAAATTTTGGAGCAATATATTTAATCGTTAATACATTTCATGATGGAAATGGCTACGTTCAACAGAAAAAGCAGTTTTGCAATTATTGCAAATTAAATTTTTTATAATTGATCTTGCCGTTAGTTTTTCCCTGGATCTAAATAAATTAAACATATTAAAAAATCTTACAATAAAGCTGTTTTTTCTATTGAACGTAGCTAACGTTAATGTAATTGTGCAACGCAATTATGTAACAAAAGGAATTTTGCGCTAAAATAAATATTATTAAAGTACTAGAAAAATTTAAAAACAGTGTTATAAAACATTCTCACTAAAACGACAGTATTAAGAAATATTTTCTATCGTTAAAATATTTTCCTGAAGTATTGACAAGGACTGCAATAGCCTTAAACATAAATCCATTTGGAACAATTTACAATTTACAGCAGAATTTAGCACATAATTCTATTTATAATTCCGTAAAACATGAAACTAATTAAAATCTCAGAATACACATACATAATCATGCCGTAAATTTAAGTACAATTAATATAATATATATTACGTAGATAAAATATATAAAACAACAAATAAAATTCTATCTCTATGAAATCTCTGACGCGGATTTATAGATCGTCTAAAAGTGAGCTTAGAAGAGAATCCCGGAACAGTGAGATAGAATCTTTAGAACCCGGACAGCCTTCTCATTCGGGGTTTAAGAGAAGAGCCCCCGAAGTTTCCTTGAGAAAATTCGGAAATTCTCAAATTTTCGCCAGAAGATTCTCGCGAACAGGCGATCCTCGGGATCCTCCCCGCAAGGAATAAGGATTCCGCAGCCGGTGTCGCAAAATGAGACCGAGAGCGAACCACCCCGGCGGCTGTTGCATCCTGACGTAGTCCGCCGGCGCTCTCTCGCTCGCCGGCTAAAATTGCACGTTGCATTCGCGGAACGGTGGGGGGATCGAGAAGTCTCGCAGGTGGGGAGAAAACGAGACTCTCGCCTGCTCTCGCCGGCAGTGCCGGCGGCGGAGTGGGGGGTAGAGTAGTCGCGAAGAGTAGACGAGTGGGGGCTCCCTCTGGTGGGTGTCTCGTGTCAGTCGAGCCGTGTGCCGCGTCGCGGTAGTGTCGCGCAGTAGTGCACCGTGTTTCGCGCCTCCGCGTCAGCCGTCGAGCCACGACGAGATGACGTCGTCTTCCTCGTTCTGACTATGAGCGACGCGCGCTCATCGCGAGCATCACCGGACCCGTTCACCCCGTCGTCGTCGTCGTCATCGCCGCCGGCGATTTATCTCGATTCACGCATCGCGAGCCGATCGGGCAAGCCGCGCGTCAGGGATACCAACGAACTTTCGTCGTTCGTTGCCGCCGCCGCCGTCGCCGCCGCCGTACTTTTTCGATCCTTCTCAAAATCTTAACGATCGCGCGTTCGACCGGACGATCGTTTTCCAGTTCGCGTCCCGATCCATTCGTGTGTCTGTGCACAAAGGGGGAAACTTCAACGCGTGGAATAGCCGACCGTGACCGTCGCGAGTGACTGCGCCAGGTTCTACCGAAGGAAGAAGCCGCAATTCTCGAAGAAACTGCACCGGCGAAGTACGCCGACAGTTCGTCGCGTCGTCAATAGGCGGACGCGTCCGACTTTTATTCTCTCTTGTCGTCCGTTTCGCGTAGGTACGTATAACGTTTATCGGAAACGAGTTAACCGAGGCGGACAGCTCGTCGTTCTGTCGCGTGAACGAGGCCCTAAGTGACGGTGGCGCGAGTTTCAAAACCGTTGCGATAGAAAGCGAACGGAGGACCGCACCGTCGACGTTGCCAAGTCTCTCGTTGCTTTTAACGGAAAGGACCCGTCGTGTCCGTCCGTCTTCATCGAGATCTCGACGTCGATCTCGCGCTGATCTACCATCGTCTTCCATCGAAGCGGAACGTCGGATATTCGACGGCAGGATTCTTACACGGGATTCGCTCGCGGGACCTTTCGCGAATCTTCGTCAACGGTCATCGCCCGGATTTGTTCCCGTCGGATCCTGCGAGTCTCCGAAGTTGGCGGTTTGTGTTTCACTTTGTCACGATAAGTACTGACGTCAAGCTACACAATCTTGGCACGCGCGAGTTGCGATTCGCGAATGTCCTGAATTAAACTAAGCTATGTATTTCAGTTTTATATCGTAACGCTTCTTCTGTTTATCCGCGAGTCTCTGGCCGTATTGACTTCTCTCGAGGGCAGGAAGTGCCACAACGAAGGAAGACGATAAATACTATGAAATAGTGCGTCGCGTTGGAGCCTCCTATCTTCCCCGAGGAGGCAAGTCACTCTTTTTGATCCGTTTTCGAGTCATTACGTGATCCTATTTGTGGATTGGACATCCATTCTGAGGAAAATAAAACAAGAAGAAGAAGCTCATCCCGTTTCCCCATCGATCGCCGATCACGTAATTCCGGTGAGGTGGATCAGCTGATAACCTTTCGCGGTGGTGTAACTTTACTGATGCCCGAGTATTTCGAAAGCAATAAACTTGGGGAAAAAAGAATCTGCCTGAAGGAAACGAGAGGATAGAAATAAACCGCGTCATTGAGCGGCAACGTGTCGGATTAATTTCCACGAACCGCGGCGTACAAAGAGGAGCAAAAGGTGCGGAGCACGACAGGATTTATCGAGACTCAGGGTTACTGTCGTCGTACGTACGGAAAGAACTGCCTGTCGCGTGTGTGTGATCCCTTTAAATTTCTCTCCCTCCCCCCTTCCCCCCGAATCTTTCCCCGCCTATGTTTCTCGCACCGCGCGAAGTAGAACGAGATCCAACGCTTCACCCTCCGGCTCTTCGCAGTGCTGTTCCGTCTTTGCGTCTATCCGCTAGAATCCGCACTCGGAAACGGACGGGGGAAAGCACTCCGGGCACATCGACGAGACGACAAAGCGAGAAAGGGTGGGAGACAAAGAGAGAGAGAGAGATAGAAGAAGAAGAGAGGATCTCAAGTCTGTCACTCGTGTATCTCATGATGAGCCGAGGAGCGGTACATGTCAAGCGGCGAACGTGACCGCCGCAAACTATCTCCCTCCCCCCCGTCGACGCCCCGCGTATCCCAGGGTCGCCGGCGAGACGACCCTTGTTAATACCGCAGCCGATCGTGAGAGGAGAATGTCGCGCTAGGAGAAAGAGGGCCCGATTTACTTGCTGAATCGATCTACTTTCGACGATCCTCCCCTCGATGGACGTTACATCGTCGATTGGAGGGCGACCTCGCGGGATGGTAGTAGCCGCCGACGAGTGCAGAGGATAATAAGGCGGGATTTCGTCGCGAAACGGAATCGTCGGAGGTGTGCGACAGGGAAAGACGATTTTGAAGAGAAACAAACGAGCGGGGGCGTTAGTCGGGGTCCACGCGCGTATAACGTGAGAGAGCGTCAAGATGACCATGGCAAGCAACATCGTGGTCGAGTGGCTGCGGTCGCTCCACCTCGGCCAGTACTCGGAATCGTTTATCGATAACGGCTACGACGACCTTGAGATCTGCAAGCAGATCGGCGATCCGGATCTCGATGCGATCGGCGTCTTCAATCAGAAGCATCGCGCGCGTCTGCTGCAATCGGTGAAGACTCTACGCGAGGAAGGCGCCGCGAGTGTATACTTCACGCTGGAGGAGACGAACGACAACAGCTGCGACAACATCAGCTCCAAGTCGTCGAGGACGTCGTCCGACAGACCACCCAGCGATAAGGAGGCGCAACGAGCGTCGCCCACGGCCAGCTCCTCCAGCGGCGGTCAGGAGCTGACGAAGTTCGCGGACGAGTACGAGGAAGGCAAGGCCGAGCTGGTGAGAATTCCCAGGATGCAACTGAGGATGCTGCTGCAGGAGAAGCTCAGACACGACGGCATCAGGCTGGCCTGCCAACCGTACACCACACCGGTAAGTCAATTTACTTTGGAGGGAAACTCCGTTACGACATGTAGTCTGTCGCTAGAGAATATAGATATCGACGAATATCGTATAAGTTGAAGTCTTAGATTGGAAAACGATATTGATGTTGAGATAGCAAGCTCGAGTAACGAAGAGAAAAAAGTCGAGCCAACAGGAGTTGTTATTTTGCGGAAAAAAAAAACGTTCAGTTATATTTTTTAATAATACAGTATTAACATGAAAAATGTTACGAAATTAATAAATTAGTTTTCGATTACATTTATACATTTATACTTTGAAATGACAAAATCAGTCCGATTTACTTTTCGAAATTACTAATTCACGAATGTACGATTTAATTTTCGAACACGGGAATAATTCGTATTTGGTTAAAATGAGATTAGTATAAAAGCTCTAGAATATACAGTTTATATATATTTATGTAAACGCACGTGATATACGCGCGGATGTACAAGTATCAAGTTTATAATACAAGTCTAAAGCATACAACATGAATTATTATGTAAATTAAATTGCATATTATATGACGAGAATAATATGACTGTACTGTACGTACAGTAAAATGAATATTGTTTGAATGATATATATTTTTTGATAGGGAATGTATATTTTTCCGACATCCTAAGCCTTTGTATATTTTCTTGTATTTTTGAACAACGGCATAAATAACCTATTTATGGTTTAACATAAATAGATAAAATTACCTCTTTAAGGCTGGATTATTTCATCTTTCGGTAAACTTCAGCTCGCTCTTACTCTCTTATGCTTTCATTCCTTTACTTTTTTGTTTATCCAGTAGATAAATTACCACATAGTTTATCTGAAGATGGAACAACCGGCCCTAAAATATGTAATTTTAAATAACATATTAATCTTGAAAATAAGTAATTTTAAATACGAGAGGATCAAGCCAATTAGAACCAACACTAGGTGACTGTGTGTTCAGAATTTATGATACAAAAGAATTTTTATACACTTGGTGATTATTCTAGTTGGCTTAAACCTTTAATATTTAAATTTATTTCTTTGAACCCCTGTATATTTTTTATATTATATGTAATTTTACCTATTTACGTTACGCATATATATATCAGATTAAATTGCTAATTAATTCCAACTTCATAAATGATAATGCTATCTGCCCTTCGTGATACGTCCGACAATGTGTCGCGAGCATAATTCTCTTCCATTTTCCCCACGTTATCCACGTAGACGAGCACGCGTCGTCTTTAATACATTACGATACGCATCGCGATTAGCCACGACAATGATACTCGAATTATCGAGTGAATTATCGGGCGGGCATTCAGGTGTGCCAGTCACAAGGGGAGAGGGTATCTGAGACGATGATAATGCTGAAAACTCGCAGCCCTCACGTGGCACGCCCTACGAGCGTAGATAATCCCCTGATTCATTATTTCGTTGCATTAGCCACCAGCCGGAGATAAGAACAAGCGTGCCATGTTTTACCCTGCTTCCATGCACGTTCTTATTCTTCTCTGATCCTCCGACAAGATGGTCGATCGTATATTACATTTTCACTTTTCTTATGGGTCTAATTTCTTCAGAATTTCAACGAAAGTTTTAACGTTTAACGCTTCTACGTTACTTACGTGACTTTTTTAACGCGATTACTCGTCCGAAGTGTTTCTGACACTCCATTATATCTCAATTTTCATTGTTCTCTCTGATGATTTACGATTTAAATAAAGATTAATAATATTTTATACATCCTTTGTATGTATAAAGATAAATGCAAAAATTTTTTTAATTGTGAAATATAAGAAGGGTACAACTTTTTGTAACCATACTGGGATCGTTTTACTTCTACACACATATTTTCTTGTATACTATATTGTTTTCATAGAAATTAAAAATTATTTGGAGACATGGTAGTGTCTCGGTAATAAATGACGCCAAATTTAAGGAAAAATTAGTACAAAAATTATTATGATAATTTTTGGTTTTCATGAAAAAAAAATACATAAAAAAATGAAGAACGATCGCAAAAAAGTGAAAGTTGCACTCTCCTTTACGCTAAATAGAATAATGTATATAGATAGCATTCATACATTTAACAAAATAAGTGGGAGTGTTCTCAACATTCTAGAATAATGAAGGATTAATGTAATTTTGACAAACAATTTAAATTTTCGCGTTATTACTTTCTAACTTTCTAATGTATATATAGGTATGATGAACGTTACACGTTTTCTTCGTTCTTTATCACGTGTCAGCAACACAATGCAAAGTTACACATGTATCTTTACATCTCGACCTTGTTACATTTATAATGTAGTGTAAAACATATTTTCCATGCTGTTAGTTTAATTAAGGTACGGATATGTAGCGATATGCCCGCTATGGGACTTTCTGTCAGTCGAAATACAGTTTCTCCGGAAAGCTTTCACGTGTGTTCGCGAAGTAGGAAATACCTACACAGTGGAAGCTTCACATTCGCGAGGTTTATATTCTATAAAATTGCGGGGAATATGGAAATTGCGAATACGAAAAAGAGAAGTACATAAAAAGATTTAAGGTTTTAGATGAAAGAAAGAATATATAACAAGGAAAAACGCGTTTAAAATGAGAAACTCATTTTTATTTTATCGTCTTATCCGGCGCTGTTGTAATTTAGTGCAGTCAAGAAACAGAACAGGATAGAGGCAGGTACAGAAATAACGTTGCACTGAATTTTATATATGTTCTGAAAACGGGTTTTTAGTGTCCTAAAAAGACGTGGATATTTTTTCGAAAAAGGAAAGGAGAAATTCTAGGGCTCAGTATAGACAAAATAGTAAAATTTAAAATGGATGTATTATTACACACAGAAAGGACAGTTTTACTGAAGTATCTAAAAATATTTGACTAGATATATATATATACGGATCTGAAAATAATAATTTATTGAACCATAAAAATAATTACTTAGAAATCTCAAGCATGATGAGAAATGCTGCAAAAGTTTTGACATTCTAACTAGTTTGAGCGCATTACATAATTATTCATGATTCAAGAAAATTATTTTCAGATCTGATTTAGTTAAATTTTTAGATACTTTAACAAAATTATTCTTTCTGTGTAAGAATCAGCTTTCAATGATGCGTTGTTTCGGTGTATTCTGTATATTTTTATTCCTGCGTAAAAATGAGTGAGAGAATTTTATATTTATAGATACGAAAAAAATTTCGCATACGAAATATTTAAGTAAAGAATCCTCATGAACGTGTATGTACTTATTGTACTTATCTCTGCACTTAACAAGTAAGAAGCTCTTAATGTAATTAAGTTGCTCCGCTGAGATTTCGATCCCCATAATTTTGTTGATGAAGTTGAATATACCGTAAGGATATACAAGTCCTATATGCATACTCGAAACATATATATGTATAGTTCCAAAGCGCGACGGTAATGCGAGCGACTGCGAGCGAAACGAAATCATGAATCGATCGGGTGACTCGCAAGGTGCATTGAGGACAATATCCCATTGTCTGATATATATATGTAAAATTAGTGGTGGATTTAATTAGGAGTACTCTGAGTTTGAGGAAGGCATCATGGTTATCGTGTAAATTTAGTTCAGTTGTATATGTAGTTTGACACATTTCCTTCGGCATATATTCGTTTACGATGCAAGAAGCACGTCGGGATGAAAAATTTAATGAAAAGATTTAAATTCCTCGCATATACAATTTTTCTTCGCACTGACTCATGTTTAAAGTTACTTTATTTTTTGTTTGTATCTTTTATTATTCCATGTGATGAATAATGTCAGGCGCGTGAAGCCATGTATATAAAAATTCTGATTTAATTCCTCGAATTTTTTAAACATAGTTTTCTCATAAAGAATAATATAACATTCATGAAAGTTAGAATGTTCATGAATTGAGAATTTTCGATAAATTTTCGAAATTTTATATTTCATTTAATGAAAAAATCAAATGAGTTGTGTGTACTTATAAATGTATTTTGTGTTTTTAATCATTAACATGATATAAACAATAATTTAATAAATACAGGGTAAGAATAATTTAAGAAATACATTTCAAGAATCATTTATGTGACGTTGGGTGTAAGATTGGGGAGTGATTTGTATTTTGCTTTTGAACTTCAATCTACATAGAGAAATTTTTATTTGTTGCATACTTTATTATTCGACACGATGTAAAATGTGGGCGCGATTAATTGGACATCGGGAATAAAAGCGAACAGCGTCAAGCGACAATTTCGAAAATGATTAGTCATACGCTCGTTATCAGAATTACAAAACCGCGGAGCTTTATCGTTCTGGAAACAAGTTTAAAGCCCCGCTTTGTTACTAATGAGTCAGAGAACACGCGCAATAATATTCTCCACATGTATCCACGTTTGTTAATTAACCGCACGGCGAGACGATGGAAAGACAATCGCTTCATATTCGGCAAGGCGTGTGACTTTTATCGTGCAAGTTTGGTATTACACTCATAAACATTATAGATTAATGTTCATTCATAACATCTATCGTTTCTTTTAGGCAGATTCTTATTTTCTAAGTTTATTGTTTAGACATGTTGCTGAAACAAAATACAATGAAAAGTATAATAGAATGATACAAAAGAGAATTTCATTACTAGAAGGTATCATACACTTTAAAAAATATTGGTATGGATTTGACACCATGCGGTGTTTATATAATTCTTACTGTGTTGGTGTGAATATTAGCACCAATATGTTGTGAATTTAACACCATGGGTTTTAAATACAGATCATGACGATGTAGATATCAAGGGATATCCATCATGTTGGTTAATATTAACACCAATATGGTGAGAAATATATAGACGTTGTATAATGTTATCCATACCGATATTTTTTAGAGTATAGACATAAGAAATTTATATAGGAACAAAAATAATCATTAGTAATATATTATAGAATTTAAAAAAACAATTTTCACACAAATGCAACATTTTAACGTATTATAAAAATTAATTATCATTGTATAATCAAGATCATTTATATAATTCTTGCACAACATCATTTATACAATATTAACATGACAGTTATATTTAAAATTTTCGAAGATATAAATATTCTGCACACTTATTGCGAATGCATTGGGCAATTTTTGATTAGAGAAAACAATGATGGATACACTCGCGATGTAACAAAAAAATTATCTTTTTAATATCAAAATACAATTACAATTTTTCCGTTTTTTTTTTTTCGACAAGTGGTATAGATATAACACCGTGACAAGTGTTTTGTTGAAACATTTTGCAAAATAATTTTGTTTACTGAAATTTTTCATAGTGACTGCAAATCGCTGCGTAACTGAAGTTCGCAATTGGAATGCATCGCGAATTTACGAGTATGCGCGGCGGTTTTTATTTTTACACATCGTCGATGTCCATTTAAATTAGTTTGCACAAACTTTAATTTATTCCTTTCGCGAAACGCATGATTTCCCAAAAATACTGCTCTGTAAACGAACCATATACCTATACTTGACAACGAAGATTATAATAAGGACAATGTTTTCGTTTAACAATTGTGCAAAGAACTATTGCAAAGTATCGTAGATTACAAACTGATTTTCATAGATTATTAATTAGAACGACAATATACAAGAATTATTGCATTTTTAGATTGAGAATAGTAATAGTTGATTTAAAACATAACTAATTGTCGAATTTTAATCTATGTTGTTTAATTAAGTTTGACGTATCAAATTTAACAGTACTTGAACAGATAATCCTTGTTTTTCTGTGTAAATTCCAAGCGAAAATTTCTGAAATTAATTTATTAAAACTACTGACAGCTTAATTATCACAATTTTGCGCTTGCTTGTTGTTACGTACAGGCGAACAATAGTAGCACTTTTGGTTTCGACGCTTTAAAAATAGAAGATACACACATAACGCTACAGAAAAATATATTGAAAAATATTCTAATACAAAGAGATTTAATTTTATCGAAATTTAATATTGAAGCTTAATCAAGGAAAAAATATTGAATGTTGTACATTATCGGAAAGAAATTGTAATGAACATTGGATTGAGTAAAAAAAATTTCGCTAGGAATTAAATGTTATTATGTTATTATGTAATTTGTAAAAAATTGTGATAATTCTGCACCCTTATCACTTTCAACGCTATGACTGTACACGATTATACACGTGATTGCATTGATCCAAATTTTATTATTTTACGAATATTGTATTGCAATATAAAAAAAAGTATTTTAATATAGACATTATTGTCTCGAAACAGACGCTGTAATACATTCTTTGCGTGATAGCGTGACCAATCGATCGAATAGCTATGAAAATTGCAAATTGAAGTGCAGAAAAGTTTCTGCGAGTTGCATGGAGGGTCATTGAGCGTGCGATTACTCATGTACGCCGATTCATTTATGAACTTTTGGGTGGACCAAATGATACTCGCTTTCATTTACGTTCCCAATAAGCGCGAGTGCACTTTCCGTGTACACTGTTTATGAAATTTTAATGCGGCTGGTTCAGCGACACAAATCAAATGACAAATTTTGTATCTCCGACTTCCTTTTTAATATACAATTCGCGATTCTTTTACAAGCGTCAAGCAGAACTTAACTAATTTTTTGTTTTTTTTTTATTTATTTAAAGGATAATTTTTTGCTCTTGATAAATGTAGCTTCTTCTTTTATTTAAGATATCGATAATTTTAATAACTTAAGACAACACGAATTTATTGAAAATCGATATCAATAACTTTAATAACTTAAGAAAATACGAATTTGTTGAAAATCGGTTATTTCATTATTCATATAATGAATATCTTCCTATTTCAATGTAAGAGATAATAATAAAAGCCGCAGTAATTTTAACTTTTTCGATTTCGGAATTTAAATATTTTCAATGTAAAATATCCTCTGAATTGCATCGTACAAATTATTAGCGTGTCATCGTAACTTCATTTGACAGAAAACAGCGGCAGCTGAATTGGATCACGATGAAGTTTTTACATATTCTATCTCGTATTTCGTAAATTCGCTAATTTTCAACCACGTGTGACCCGCAAATATTCGAAAGGCGATTTATTTTATAACTAGCAACGAATAAAAATTTCACAAGGCTCACATGTAATCATTATAAATCAAAACCACGTTCGTGTTACGTTTTCGTGTTATACGTGGCTACTTTATCGACGCGCAGTTTGTGATTCAGAGCCGAGACAATCGTGTGTCATCACTGTCGTCTCTTGGCTTTGGTGATCAACATATGAATAACACAATTATACGGCTGGCCATCTCCGCGGCGGACTCCGTATTTTGTACGTCCCTATATGTTACCACTTTTTCGCAGAGAACACGTATATACACGCGAGCAAATGACCGCGAGCGCGAAGGAAATAAAAAAAAAAAAATGCTGTTTCTCTCTCAGAACACGGTGGTCTGGCCGTCACCTGTATCTTTCGCCTCTCGGCATTGCAAACGAGACCTGGCTGCTCTCTTGCTCTCGCACGAATGCACGCGCGACTACCGACTGATCTGACTGTTGTCAAAATGATATTTCCCATCTTGAAAGCCGTGCGTATGCACTCTTATTGAGGCACAATTGTGCGCACGAAGAAGATATAATTCGTCCAGCTGCAGGCGTCTGGACTGGCGTCTCGTCTGGCGCGCATACCTCGCTAATCAACATTCCAACCGTAGGGACCTACGTACAATTACTCGCGATACAATCGCTGCCGATACGCGTCTATTTATCCGTAAGGTCGTTGGAGCATAGCCCACGAAAATTGCACCGTAAGCCGCGTGCACGTTCACCGAGTTGCGGAAAATACATCGCTTGAAAATTTCACGATACATTCTCACGATTGAGAATTTATCGTAACTGTTTTTCTTCTCCTTTTTTGTTTAGCTTACCGCTCATTACTCGCCACACCTCCTCATAATTGTTGGTTGGAACAGCTGGTTGCCTGTGATAGCTCCAAGTTTTAAAGATGTAATCTACGTTAAGTGAGCCCCTTATGAAAAGCGACCTTGTTACGATCCTATTAAATTAATCAGATAAGTGCGACATACGTGGTTAAGAGAAACGTTTAATATGAGATTTATGTTAATGTAACCCATGAATCTTTCTTTGATAATTTAAATCAAAACTTCCAATTTTGTTATTTTACTTTTTAGAAGAAAAGAAGACAAGTTGTTATCGATTTATTTCTTTACATACAGTGCTATTTAAAGGTATGTTTTTTATCCTGTACTAGAATTCTCTTTCTCGCTTTTGTCAAATGCCAAACATGTCTCGTCCTAAGTTCCAAACGTGTACACTAGTTTTGCCTCAGAAAATAGATCTTAATATTGACATTTTTAACCGTATATATATGTATTATGCATCTTTTTCTATTTAATATGCAATGAATTAATAGCATTTTACTGTTTTGTCAAAACGTATTTCATGAAATTTCATATTCTTTCTCAATAATCAGTATAAAATCGAGTAGGACAAATATGTACCTTTCTCTAATCGATACGGAGCATCATGCTTTAAAGATATCCACGTAGATATATTTTTCATCGCTTGCTGTTAGTAGGATATAGACAGATTCGTGAAACCTTTTGACCTAGCGTTCAGTAACAATTTTTCCCTCTGGAATTGTGCGAAGCGGAAAGAGGTGGTACACATTCGAGGTAAACAGGTTAGGAAAAAAAAAATAGAGTGTAAAAAAAAATTTTTGTATGCCCAGAACGAGAGAACGTTGGAAATGTTATATGATCAAATAGCAAATAGATATTCTGTGACGAGATAACGTGTCCGCGAGAGTGCGAGACGGGATTAAATATCCGACGATTATGTGGCGTGCCGCTCACACGTTTCCGACTCGACCTTGCAACGGGAGATAGGAAGAGTTCCGTGAGCGCCATAAAGCGATCGAACAAGCACCTCTTCATCCTCGAGGCGTCTCTAACTCGTCTGGCGAATTTCCGTTATTCACGCCCACGGGAGTGGTCGTTACTCTCCCGGCAGCAGCGTGCTACTCTTTTACGCCGATGAGAGTTGAATTGCGCCAACTTCGATCGTAACCTGCTTCTATCCGCGTCGTGTTCACTCTGTTTCTCGTAATAACAGTCGGAATCACTATGTACACGCTAGCAAACGACCGCGATTTTCAGAAACTTCTTACTCTATAAATATTTATTTTGCCAAGTGAGTGACACAGATAGTGCCTCTAAATATTTATTGCACTTTTTTCGAATTTCACCGCAATCGAGTTCCTGTTTAAACTTTTTATAGAACATAATATATAATATAGTAAGTCACATTTTTATATAGGGTGTCTGATAATTGTTCTGACAGAGTTCGTGGACATGTAGAGCGGATTAAACTGAGACGGAAAGTCCTCTACCATTTTGCAGTTTTCACAATAGAAGATATTAATTTTATTGTCGAAAATTGGTCTTCAATAATGTTTTACTCAAATATTATCAACTTTACAAAAAAACTGCAAGAGACAAGAATTATTTATTTTTTTCTCATAGAGCTTCAAAAATTTTTTCACAATTTTTTGACCCTTCAGTACTGCATTTTCTTATTTTTACCAACATGAGAAAAATATGGTATTAAAAAATCCTGAGAAAATTCGTAGAGTTCTAGAAGAAAATAAACAAATTTCGTATCTTGCAGTTTTTCTGTAAAATTGATAGTACTTGAGTAAAAAATTATTGAAGACCAATTTTCGGCAATTTTTAGCAATTAATATCTTGTTAACTATTGCGAAAATTGCAAAAATGGTAGACTTTCCGTCTCAGTTTAGTCCACGAACTCTGTCAGAACAATTATCAGACACCCTGTATAAAAATGTTGCAACGATGGCAATGATAAAATATATATGTATAGTAATTAGTAATAGTAGAAATCTCAAAAGTTTAATTTAAACAAAATCAAATTGATTAAATTAATTTTTATCATTAAAAGCTAATTAAAGATTTTAAATAATAGTCAATGGAATCATTGATTCTTTCAACGGTCGTTTCTCTCTAATAGTTCCACTTCACTATATATCTATGTATATTTGTATCTATGTATCTCCGTGTCTCTCATATCTGTTCGAGTTTTTTTATTAGGCATAACGTATGAATATAGGTCTAAGTTGATGGTGTGATATTTTGAGACAGAGACACTGTACGACGACCGATCGACCTTCCCTATAGTGTAACTATAGCATATCGGTGGTAATAGCTTTTAAATATTTGAACGAATGTTCAATCGATATACCTATCCCTTGGCCAAGCGCGTTGCGGCTCTTTCCTGAGTCTTCCGTTCCCTGTTCTCTATTCCGTTCTAACCCATTCCTTTCCACCTAGCAGAGTCGGCCTTCCGAGCACGTTTTCATGAAATATCGAACACATGGAATGAGATTCTCTTATTCCGTAAGGGGAATGGCGAGCATGGAGAGAGAGAACGGGGGGCCCCGGGTAGGTCGGGCTCGGGGGAGCAAGAGAGCGTGGATCGAAATGGCAGATATTACGCGTCGCTCGCGACGACGCGGTCGTATGATTGATGCAAGACAGTTACGTCGGCCGTGTGTCGCTCGTGTAGCTACACTGTCTCTGTATAATACACGTGTGGGGCGTGTGGTGATTATTATTCAAATTTTCACGATAGCCAGCGCCCGGCGGGCTTCCAGCAGGCAGTTGCCGATTGCCCACCGAGATTGCTCCTAGTGAATATTTATTAAGCGCGCCTCTATTTGTTAATCGTTGTCTCGCGCCACCACCCGCGCATCGCGCGAGACCGGGATCCGCCGCCACTTCGGCGGCTTATCATCGCGTATTTTTCTCGTATCTTTCTGCTTTCCGCACCGCGCCGTCCCGGTTCTACTTCATCGTTCCTTGTAAACGGTCCGTCAGGTCTGAGGATGTAATCAAAGAGAGTCTGGAAACGTCATGGGGGACGCATCGAGTGTATGAACACGGAATTTATGGTTCTCGCGGCAACCACCATTAATAACCCCACCTTTGTCTCTCTGTCTTCAGCTTCCTTTTCCTATCCGTCTTACGCGAATCTTCTATCTTTCTCTTCCTCTCTATTTCTCTTTCCGCGTCTTGACAGGACGCCAAGATTCCGTCTCTCAACATTAGCGTGTTCGTACGTCTCCTAGCTTCCTCCAACCGTTTCGCTTCGGAACTCGACGAGAACGATACGCCGCGCTATCATACCTGCAGAGAAGTGAGTTTGGAGTGGCATTAATGAAGAGACATCGTCGCGAGTCGTTGTGATAAAGCGAGGAGCCGTTACCGTCGCTTTTAATTAAGCTCCCGCTTTTAACGCGCCAATTATGAGAGCGAAGAATTTATACGCATTTAACCTGAAAGTACCAAGTAGCTGTGACATCGATTATGCTACGGTGCATCTATGCAAACCAGCCTTCTACCGGAGGATAAAGTTCTAGTGCCTTTCCTTCGTGCTGGCAGCAAAGAGAAAATTACGCTTTTCTCGTGTTAAACTATGCGCGCATATTTCGATCATTCGTCCTCAAGTCACTCATTTTGCAATCGCGTCTTATGCAGCAAATTGAGTTGGACGAGTTAAAATCAACGTACATTAAGGCGTTATTATGATTCATAGTTATATAGAAAAAGACTAGAGATAGAAAAGTCCATTACAAGTGTAGTGAAACAGTTATACGTATATACAGGGTGTATCGAGAATTTGCGATTGAAGATATTATAGCAAGAAAGTTCTCGGAAAATTAAGTAAAAAAGTTATTTGTAAATTTTTATTTTAAGCAGCGTTTGAAATATAAGGCTTTAGATATGCTCAATTACAGATATGTTTAGACGGCCACTTGTCATGAGTCGCACGTGCTGTAGTTTAATGAGCGCATACTTCATTCACTAATAAGGTCTCATTTACAATAGTCGTATAAGCTTGTGACCTACAACACAAACTATGCTATTATTGTAGATGAGGCCTAAAACTCACAGGTGATCATTTAAATGTAGTCTGTAACCCATATTTAAATTCTTATTATTTAAAAAATTGTTATTTCAACTAAAAGTTTATAAATTTTCGAGAATTTGTTTTCTATAGTATTTTGCACTGAGAGAAAAATGTTTGGTATATATATTTGTAACCATAACTACATATTACTATAATTATATAGTTATTTTAGGTTGCCAACTGTATACATTTGTTGCTAGAACTATGTACATACACGGAGAGAATTTTCTCTTAAAATTTACCCTTAAAATATGGTAGTTGTGCCACAATATTTTAAAGATTTTTACTACGCACTTCAGTAAAATTAATCAAACTTATTTTATATATTATTGTACTTTTATTAACGAATGAGAGAAATTTACATAAAATTCTTCGAAATATAATGTTGTCCCACAACTATCATATTTTCAGGATAAACTCTAAGAAAAAATTCTCTCCGTGTAGTTACTGTCATTATTATTATAGCAATAATAATCGTAATTATAGTAATATATGATTATAGTTACAAATACAAAATATTTTTCTCTTATCGTGGGTTGCGAATTTTGGGACACGCTGTATTATTTACCGTACTATGTAACAGCGAAGTATCTAACCATGAGTATTCGTTTATCGAATATTCTGTGCATCATATCTCCGTTTCTCGATCTCGATTTTGCTTCGTCGTGCATCGTGCTTGTCGGCTTGTCGATTGACTTCGGTGTTTGTCTCGTTTTGATTCAATTTGTACTTATACCTTCTCCTCTATTCACACGCTATTGCGAGTACGCCGACAATCAGATTAACCAAGCAAACTGATTCAATATCTGGCACTACAGAATAGTTCAAAATTTGTGCTTACGTTTACGGTTCTACAACCAAGATCGATTCAATAAGACATTTATTATTATTTTTGTCTGACATGGATATAAAAATTATTTTCGGTTGTTAAATAATTTAGTAAATATTATTAAATATTCATTATCATTTTTTTTTATATACTTGAGAACCCAAATAATATCTCTACAGAGTTATATCTATCTTGGAATTCTATATTATGCGTAATTTTTTAATTAATTATTATTGGTATAATATGAAAATTTATTACATCAAAAGTTCGACTATAATTCATTTCAAAGTTTTAATAATAATATCAGCATGTTTATACACAGATCGGACACCTTTACGATTAACCGATGCATGTTCTATTACGTCGCAAGTGAATAAATCATACTTTCGATTACACCAAAAAATGTGCTACAAAAATCATTTTTTGTAGTCTGTCTGGCGGTTCTCTTAATTTTCCAGGCGACTGATTCCATCGATAACAGTCGCTATTAATTAGTAGTTCACTGTACTCACACGCGGTGTAATTTGCAGCAATCGAGTGCTACGCACTTTGTATTTCAGCACACGTATCCCGCTGACATTAATAACGGTGCGGTTCATTCGAGAAGGCCATTAGTCGCTGTCTTAGAGGACTAAGCCACTGCGCCAAACGGTGCGGGGAAGAGGGGATAGTTGGCTGTGGATTCTGTCCCAAAGTCGCGAGAGCGCCCGCTTCGTTACGAGCGGATACACGCGGGATAGGATTTTCCTTTCTCAAGGATTTCACAGACTCCTTCTGCCCCTTTTTCCCCCCTCTC